AGCAACAGTGCCACATATGGGCCCAATATAACGTGCGAAAGGCCTCAATATTAGAACGTTACGTAAACCTGCTTGCGACCATTTACTCAGCCCTACAAGACAGATGAATATTCTTTGGAATAAATTTAAGGTCTAAGATCACTAAAAATTCCATATAAAAACTACTGTAGCGAAATCTTGTCAAGTGTACAAATATTTTGAAAGGTAGTATTTCGTGACCTAATACACACGGTGATTTAGCATAAAGTAGTGAAGATTTCGAACTTGACGTGATGTTATCGGGAAATATTTATAACAAAACACTACATAAATTCAATGTATCTGTGAGTCATAATTTGAAGAGAATCTGACAGTTTACAGCAAGTGCTGCAAAAGATTCCACTGCTTATGTTTAGAGAATGTTTCATAATACATCATATATAATATCACTCTGCCGGGTTACTTAGCTAAAGCTCATTAAAATTATACTATTTTGGACAAAATGACAATTTTCTTTGGGAGATTTTCAGTCACAGTCATATTTCTTCTAACGGTACATCGAATTGCGTTTGTTGAGCAATTTTCTTCACTGCGACAACTGGGCGTGGCGCGTGCACATTCTTGTTGCTTAATAGCCGTGACTGACTGTCGATGACGAGGCTTCTAGGAGGAGATGAGTAATCCTGTCGCCACTGCGCGGTTTACCGTGTAATCTCTGACAGGTTAATCATTCACTTCCTAGCTTTTAGAGTTGTTTGGCTGGCAGGTTTGAAGAAGCGTAACAGCATGGCGTCAACACTGGTTGTGACTGTCAAAGCACTCCTGACATTATCTGTCATGTCTGGCGTGGCGGCCCAACCTCAAGTTACCACGAAAAACGGTGTAATAGAAGGATTTGGGACGACAGTAGAGGGACAGTCTGTGAATCTGTTCTTAGGGATTCCTTTTGCTGAACCACCTGTAGGAGCTCTGAGGTTTATGAAACCACAGCCGCCCTCTAACTGGACTGGGGTTAAGCAGACCATCGCTTTCGGTGCAGCGTGTATGCAGACTGCCACTGACCCAAGTCCTTATGGCGACCAGGTAGTAACAAAAGAGAGAGAGAGAGAGAGAGAGAGAGAGAGAGAGAGAGAGAGAGAGAGAGAGAGAGCATGTCTGCTGTTGTTTTTTTTTGGAAAGTTTTAGAACTTCCTTAAAATGTTAGTATGATATTTTACCTTAAAATTTCGGATGTTTTACCTTTTTGGTCATATACCTACAGCAGTGGATAGATTTATAGCGTCAGCTACATTGATGTTTTCATTTCACTCTTGTCAAAACAGAAGACTTGAATCACCCTTTTAACGATCAAAGTGCATAGTGTATAGGCCTGAATTATTAATTACATGCACAAGTAAACAATGAATGCTAAGACCCGCCTTAAAGACAGCAAAGGAAATACAGGGTAAATTTTGTCAGCGTAGCCGGGTACCACTCCCTTTACGGGTGACTGCTTCACATTATATCTATGTTTTTATTGGTAATATGTAGACCTACTTATTAGTATTACATAATTGGTCGAAATCTCGTGTTCAAAGGAAGCCCCTGAATTCGACTGACCAGCCTTTTGGTAATTATCTTAGTTATACTACTTGAAACTATATGCTGGCATTTGGTTGGTTTTTGTGACAAAAAATTGACTATGCATCTATAACTGGATTAAAAAAGATTAACGCGCCAGAAGTATGATCTTATTTAATGAAAATGAAGACGTTCTAGTTACGTTTGTACAGGAAATAGTCTACTTTTATTCAAAGCTCAACAGTGCTATTATTGACAGTGTAAATATTATTTTGCCATTTTGTCATGTGACATAAAAAAAATTGTGTTGGCAGTAAGCCATAAGGGGACTTCTACTAATAATCGACACTGCACTTTTATGACATTATTTTTGCACCCATTGTTGGAAGGAATTGTAATATCAAAGAATTTAGACAATGAATGTAGATATCGATTGATTATCAGAAAACATTCATGCCGGTGTTACAGGAATAGTGGTCCTAGGATTGGAAGTCCGGGGTCCCATATTATAAGTACAGGTTAGGGTAAGTTGGGGTATTGGGGTTAGAATATGGGACGAATGTCACCTGATTACAAAAGTAATGGGAAAGGGACTACGGTTCCTAGCGAACTTCCATTCTCGTCACAACGGACATTATGATAATGAGGTGAAGTGTCCGTATAACGCATTACGCAAGATCATCAATAACGAGATAAAGGCACATTTAAAGTGAGCGTGGTGACGCCGATAGCACACATACTGATCTTAAAGACATATAAAACGTGTTAGACTTTATAGAAGGGCGGATCAGGTGAGCCTCTCCAGGGGATTTCAAACAAGGATGCGGGCTGCTTATCTTCATCATCACTCTTTTGAAAACCATTTAAAAGCTCTATTTGTAGTTTCAATTTTCTGTTGCCTTTATAAAAAAATGTAAAAAAATAAACATACTGTTTCCTTGGGCCATGGATTAAGGCCATGTCGGAAATATATTTTTTTTCATAAATAACTATAATGACTTGAGGTCTCCACAGTGCACCTTCGCCATACATGCATAGATGCTCCCTCAAGGTAATTAAAATATTTAATTTTTTCAAAGCTAGGTGTGTATTGACTGAACTAAAGCCTCCTTTACACCGGACGGCGTCATATCTGCGTCCTGAAGTACGGTCCCGTTTAAAAGTAAAAAAAAAGATGCTTAATACTGGCCGATCATTGTGCATCCTTTTTAAGACCACAGCGATGCCAGTTTTCATGGTCGCACAAAGGACGCAGAAGGGACGCCGCCCAGTGTAAATGGGGTGTAAGAAATACCACGATGCAACTAAATCACAAGGTGATAAAAGCGCCAGCGTCTCACTGAGGAGAACATTCGTCAACCCTTAATTCAAGTTAGTTCAAAACCTTGTATGAATAAGACCCCATTCTCACAGATTTTAGATCGATCAATCCCTGTGGGGTGTCTCACTAGATTACTGTCAGCTTAGCCGGTTTAAGCGTCTGTCCCGCCTACAAAAAGCTGTAAGGGGGCAAATAACTACCGTATCGCTCGGCTGACAGCAATTTAGCGTGAACCCCCAAAGAGTTAGGTCGATCTAGATGGATCGATCTAAATCTATGGGAATGCAGTCTAAGATTTATATTTGCATTGCTGTGCAAATTTAAACAACTATTAGAGAGCTTGATCGTGTGTCTATTCTTGTGAAATAAGGTAATAGTAGGCTGAGGTGTACTCTTACGAGTCTTAGTCAGGGCTGATGCGACAAAACCGGTTTAAGGTTATGCCTCTAATGAGGACAAGTTGATCTTAGCATATGAAACACGAGAAGTATGAAACGTCTTCTTTGGTCCTAGTACATTTTTGTGAGGAGGTTGGGTTTGTTTGGCATACAGCAGGGAGTGACTTATCCTCTACAAGTGCCAAAGATTGGACGTCACTAGATATTCACAGATACACAGCGTCTCTGGTTAATTCTGTGCACTTTTCTGTGACCGGTGTAATGAAACTGAGGTTCCGTGTGACAGAAAGTCTGCCCTCCTTATAGTTATAATGCTTAGGGTTAGTTTGACCAGGGAATTATATCGGTATAATTCCCTGGTTTGACCTAAGTGGGTCAAATTCTGCGGCGAGGCTCACCTGTACAAATGAATGGGAAGCGGGCTCTCTGTTATGGGGGACTTTCTGGTACATAACAACGGTGATAATTTGTACATGATTTATGTTATCCCTCAGCTGAACTTAAGTAGAGAGCAGAAATAATTTGAGACTTAAATCCAAAGTGATATTATTTTAGCCGATTATAATCCTGGTCTGCCTCTGCTAGCCTTTTCTCCGGGTGGTGTCCAAAATATAAGTTTGAAAACTGGCTGATCTAAAGTGCCGGCGAAGTTAATGCGATATGATACGTCATTTGTTAAATGTACCCGCAGTTTTTACGTCAGATACTTTTTGTCCTAAAATTGCCAAATCGCACATGTGGAGTATGACAGAGGCATTTGCTTACGTACATAAGCACTTTAACTAATTCACGTGGTGTCTTTGTTTGTAGTCCGTTAGCCAACTTTGGTTAAATTTGCGCATTCCTGGACAATACGTCTACTGCAAACTATGTCTGATTTAATTAAGGGAGTGGATCCTTCGGAATCTTGATAGAATTACCGGTATACAGGAAAAGGCCACGCAATCACAACGTTTGTGAGCGTATGTCTGATTGAGGGATAGTGTTAACTAATGATGATTATGATGATGATGATGATGACTCTTTTTCGTCAAAAAGTTTAATTAGTTAACCATTTTAAACGTGCCATGAATAGATAGCACCGTTAACTATTCATTCATTAATTCCTTTCTTTAACTCCAGCTGTCTGAAGACTGTCTAACCCTGAATGTGTTCGTCCCCGGGGCTGTGAGCAGCACCAACAGGAAGGCGGTAATGGTCTGGATATATGGCGGGGCCTACACCACAGGAGGCACCAGTCTTTACATCTTTAATGAATTTGGTACGTCATATTATGAGATATTTTGATTACGTCACTCTTATTATAGCTTACGGAAAATGTTGTGCACCTTTTTTGTAAGTTAAAAACAATAAGCGACAGGAAACAGAATTAAACTAATAGAACACTTAAATAAGTATAGCTTTTAGACTGCATGTGTAACAGAAACGTTAAATTGTATTACACATTCCAAAATATTACCCATGTCATTAGCGGCACAGAATGACGTCATCGTGGTATCAGTCAACTACCGCGTGGGTCCATTTGGATTCTTGACCACTGGTAACGTCGACGCTCCTGGCAACGCTGGACTATGGGATCAAATAGAGGGACTCAAATGGGTGCAAGACAACATAAGAAATTTTGGCGGTGACCCTAATAAGTAAGTGCTTAACTCACTGGCTTAATCACTGTCAGATAGGTGAGACACGCATTGAGCTAATGTAAATCAATGGTCATCGTCGCATAGTGGATACGTTCTTCGAAACAGTTGAAGTATATATATTGATGCATCTTTGAAGATCTACATTATAGTTGTAAAAAGTCTTATGACTTTTTGTTCATAATCCCCGAAAAAGGCCCAGGGACCGAAAGCTCGGATTGTATTTTACAACTATAATGTAGATCTTCAAAGATGCATCAATATATATACTTCTATTTTCCTTAAGATCTATACGGTGAATAAACATGAATCCTCATCAAAACAGTCGGAAATTATCCCAGATAAGAAAGAGTACAAAAGAGTAAGAAAGAGCAAACTGTAGTCAATGGGCCGTTTAGTACACTGCAATATTGTGTATCTTTACGTGAAATATGAGTCAGTTTTTATAAGTGACATTATAAAAAAATCGATCGAAATTTTATGACTAAATTGAGTCGACTTATTGTGTGTATCCAAATGATCACTTCCAGTGTGACTATTTTCGGGGAATCGGCAGGTGGCGGTAGCGTTTCACAACTCGCAATGACGGTAGCCTCCAGGGGTCTTTTCCAACGCTTTATATCCATGAGTGGCACCGCTCTAAGCGATTGGGCCTGGGTGAAGGACGGACCTGACGTCGCTACAAAGATTGGACAGCATCTTGGATGTAACGCTGCAGCATCGCTGGTGGACTGTCTTCGTGCAGCCAACGCAACTGCCCTGCTTAGAGCGTCAGATCAGTCATTGTTTCCAGGGCGGTTGGCATCTCTTTTTGCCCCTGTTGTCGATGGCGACATGTTTCCTCGTAGTGTGGAGGAAATGCTGATGGATCCCAGCTCAACTGCGTTGACACATTTTCTGTCCCTAGACTACATGGGTGGATTCACGGACTCTGATGGCGGAGTTAACCTCCCTTTCAGCCCTATCAACATCACTCTAGGTGTGCCTCCAACTTACATGAGGGATTCTTTCATTCCTTATTTTGCTGCCCAGACTTCCGCCTACCACAATGATGAAATAGCACAGAAACTAAGAGAAGTTTATTACGATGCTAATGCAAACATGGCAGAAACTGGACGCTTAATGGTCAACCTGTATACTGATACCATGTTTTCTGTGCCAACAGTTGGATTCCTCAGAAGTCATCTTATGGCGTCAGGTGGCTCCACCTATCTATACTACTTTACCAAGGAGCCGTCATTCCCGCATCTCCTGCCCGTGCCAGCATGGTTTAAGGGGGTTAACCACGGAGACGAGCTCGCCTTCATGTTAGGACCTGCTAGTGCTTCTCTACTGAACGTCACCTTCACCGAATTAGAAAAGAACGTTTCCAGAGCTTTTATGACCTACTATGCAAACTTTGCAAAAACTGGGTAAGTTTGAATACGTAAACTTTGACGACGTTTAGATATGTGTACAGATTTGGTACTAATGTGTATTACTGCTGTACATCTTTCAACACTTTTTCTTGGAAGGAGGAAATTTGAAAATCAGCACAATGTGTCAAGATTTAATGTCTGAATCGTATTAATATTTTGTATAAGAATAAGTAAAATAAGCAATTCTAGTCCGGAAAAAAATGATCAAATACATGTAATTACAGTGCCATTTTACATTATGCTTTTTAATATTTGTAACATTCCAGAAACCCTAACACTCCTGATACTGTACCAAGTCCATGGCCACAGTATTCGTATACGAGGGAAGAGTATCTAGACATCGGTGACGTCATCGTCAATAAAACTGACGTCATTCCACGGCGTATTGACCTGTGGTTAGACACCATCCCTGCGATACTCGCCAGGTCCACCACTTCCGCTCCGTCCACGACGCCGGTGGCTAGTAAGGGGGTACAAGTCCAGTCCAGCGCCGTGCTTGCCATACTTGTCATGTTTTATGTCTTGAAGTTGTTTCATTGATGCGTCACTTTTTTATCATTACCGCTACTCAACTACTTTGTTTAAAGAACAATGTTAAAGAAAATATCTCCTGACCAAAGAAAGAGAGAGAGGTACAGAGACATCCGTGTATTTAAAAAGGGAAAGTTTTCCTCAAACGTTTTGGTTCTGGAAAATCGCGGCGTTAATAAATGTTTAGATTGGACTTTTTCAGTGTTACTGCTTTCTTGTATTATCATAAATGGTACCTGAAAGCTTTGCACGTAATTATAACTAAGATCAAACTTTTCAATCATGCATCATCTTTGAGGTAGTCTTTGAAGAACCCAGAACATGGATGTAACGAAACGATTCTACGAGTATTGCCAAAATTAACCAAACTGATTATTTCAAAACACACTAGGAATTTGTTTTAAATTTAAATAAATAAATAAAATTTAGAAATTAAAATTTTAGAGGTTTGATTTTAGATTAACGATTATAGATGCTTGTAAACTCTTATAAACTAATTTATTGTATCGATGGCGATAATAAGATTGTTCAATCAAAGTGTTTTCTGTAAATGCTAACTGAGTAAAGGCACCTCTCAGATTTTTCAACGCAACACAGACGTCCCTTTGTATATAGAATCTTTGACTATGTATTAAGTTTAGTGTAAAGCTTCTGTAACTGGATACATTCACTAGATTTTATCTTCACTTGGCCGAATATTTTTTAAAGGCCGCCTTTCCTACACGTGCAAGAGGAATACTTGTCGTGAATGGTTTTTATGGTTTAGCTGCTAGGAATACAACAATGTCCGGGTCGAATTCCTCCTTGGAGTAGTTTTATTTTGGAAATGTTCAGAGGGAGCCGTGAATGAAAGGGACTGTGTGTGTTTGTGTCCGTTTGCGTGTGTGCGTGTGTTGGAGGGGGGAGGGGGGGAGGGGGAGGAGTAAAATTTTGTGTTGAGGAAACCGGGGATAAAAGGGTCGGGGTAGTTCTTTAATTCTTAAAGAAGTAGATTAATCAGATTTAAGACAAAGTGAATCTTATTCATAAAAACGATATTTGATTGACCTTTTTAGTCACGTAATACCACAGTTCATGCATATATTTTTGCGAATTTCGGAAAAATGTCCTCACGTACGTACAGCACGAGTGCCCGGATGGCTCAGTCGGTAGAGCATCAGACTTTTAACGACAACCAAGGAATCTCAGGGTCCAGGGTTCGAGCCCCTGTTCGGGCGTGTAGCTTTTGTTACGATTGAGTATAATAGTGTACATATCAAGAAAAATTACTTGTTGTTTGTGGTCACCAGTAAAATACCAAATATCATTTAGTAAATTTGCCCATGGCATTGTGTCCCTACTCGTGAGTTCTATAAGCTGCCCCCACCCCTCCCAGTGCCTCGGCTGTCGTGGTAAGAGGTCATCGTACAGGGTGCTGGAGGGGTGTATCTGTCTTCTATGGAATCCCAGGAGGGCCAAGCGAAAAAAAAAAAAAAAAATTTTTTTTTGGAAAAAAAAAAATTTGAAAAAAAATTGCGAAATTTGCGAGNAAAGCGTCGGCAGTGAGCCCAAATGGAATCCCAGGAGGGCCAAGTGAAATTTAAAAAAAAAATTAAATTGAAAAAAAAAAGTGAAATTAAAAAAAAAAAAAATTAAATTGAAAAAAAAAAAATTTTTTTTAACTTTGATTGAAAAAAAAAAAATGCAATATCGCGCGATCTCCCGCGAGATCGCGCGTAATCCTGCGTGGCCACGTGAAATCCCGCGATACCGAGCAAAGTTTATTTCAAAAGGAAATCAAGAAAAAGAGAAAAAAAAAATCACGATATCTCACGAGAAATTGCGAGAATAGAAACATGGCGGAAGAAGCCACGATGTGTTTAAAATGCCAACATTGCACGGACTATGAACAACAGGCTCACATTCCCATTTGTAAATCATGCGGATGTGATAAAATATTGCACGTAAGTTGTTTTCTCTTTATTCTTTATGCAGATGATAGTGTGACGTATAGTATTATTAGTGAATCAAGGACGAGTCGGAGTGTCCTCTTGAGTCTTATTTCTTTACTATTACTAGTATTAGAACACCGGTTAAATAAATATGCCGCCTTTCCTGACACAGTGACACTGACTGGTTTTGCAAACGTCTTCATTAGGCATTAAACTTATATTACATACATGTACATAAATTTACAGTATTTTTCATTAGACTTCCTCGAAACAATTATTAAACCACACGTGTACAGTTCCCGTTAAGGATAGGAAGGTTGAAAGTAATGCTTTTCATTTGTAATTTACGTTTGTAGAGTGTCGTCGGTGCTTGTAACAAAAGGCAATGTCAATGTCCAGGATACCGAAAAATTAGAACCATCAGACATTGTGTCAACTGTGGGCACTTGCCCATGGATCACGACTTCAAATTTGGTGAGCAAATTCAGTGTTTGACTTTTTCAACCTGGATCTACCAAGTTATTTGTGTTAAAATACAATAAGAATTGAAATAGTTTCATATATGATATTAATTGAAATATTTTTTAATTCTTGGGCTTCAATTTGTCAATTCAAATAATAGTTATTTTATGAGAGCATGAAACAGAAGTTGATTTAATTAAGAAAATATAAAATATAAATCATAAAATTGAATTAGGTGGATTTAGCCTGTATAATTTATCTTAAATGTTGAAGCACACATCTCCAGTGTTATTATCAAAGCTTATCTTTGGGCTACAAATTATGAAATATCACTGTAATTCTGACTGTTATTCATATGTAATTGGCACTGGAAGAGAAATCTCAGAAAAAATTCACATCCATTTTGTAATAAACAAAAGAGCACACTAAATGAAATTGCCTTATAATGTATGTGTGCTTAATTGTATGTCTTATAAGTCATCTATAGTCTGTCATTGCTTCATGTAAAAAATTCATTTTATTTTTGAATTCCAGATTTAAAGGTTTTCCTCAACAATCTAGTGGAACGTAATAAAAGCAATGCTTTGATATTAGAATATTTAAAGGACATTGGTATTACCTGGAGGTAAATATTTTTGTGTAGAATTCTTTGTGGCAACAAATGCTTATTTATAATTGCTTTTTTGTAGAGAAATCTTTGTGTCAATCAATGTCATGTTTAATTCTTATTGTTAGTGAAGCTCATTGCTTATTGCCCACGTCAAGTCTTTTCTTGGTGACAAACTTAACTATTAATTGGACAGCTGCTGACATCACTGGATAGGTTTTTTTTTTTTAATGATGGCTTGGACTCCTGGAATTTTTGTTGAAAATTACAAGTGGTGATTTTAAATGGCATGAATCCCCAGAAAAGTCTTGGCCCGTGTTATCATTTTCATATAGATTCCCATAAAAATCTGCAAAATCCTATTGCATGAGGGGTGAACTTTAAAGTTGTCAGCTCACTGAATATCTTAAAGCGGGTAATAAGTTCAGAAAGGATCTAATTATAATTAATTTTTTTTTTCACTGTCAGTGAAAGAACCCTCAAGAGAAGGTTAAATGTTCTTGAAATCAAGCGACATGAACATGTCCCTGTCCAAGAATTAAGGGTAAGCGATAATTTTGATGCTGCCTACTTTGAATCAATCTGTATGTTGAAATAATATCTGTAGTATTTTGATCACTCAAGTCTTAGAATAGAGGAGATGGCATAAATACACCAACCAACTAGTACAGTACTAGTATATAGATATGTCTGATAGAGAGTCTGTTACAATCCAAAACTTAATCCCCCTTGTACAAATAAAATAAAAATATTGACATCTTACAATGATTTATATTTCCAATCATAATTTAATAAGGTTAAATACATAATAAATGGTCATTTTAATGTGTGAGTCATATCTTTTTATGTAGGATATTATTCAACAAGAAGTCGTTGTTTGTGGGGGACTGGCAGGTGTAAGGCGAATATATGATCAGTGTCGCCAGAAATATCACAAGAAAGTAAAAAGGTTAGTTAAGTAAAGGAATAATTTTTGCAATTAAGCAGTTAATTAAAAAATGAAAGTAATAATCTATATTTGTTTCACTTCTATTAAATTATATTATTCTGTTACTCTATCCTAAGAATTGATGTGCAAGAGATATTGCGTGAAGTTGATCCTGAAGGTCGGAAACTAAGGATACGAAGGGCTTTAAATCGACGAGTTTTTAAATCACAGGTAAATATTATTTTTATGTATAGACACAGAGACCTATCTGTCTTGATCATTTAAGCCATGCACTTTCAGCGATAACACAATATGTGGAAAACTATTTAGTCTTAAACCCTTTTCTGGTCACAAAAAATTGCCAAGTCATCATACTGTCAGTTTCAACTAACTTAAGATTATAGAAAGATAATTGTATGATGGAGCCACTTATCAGTAAAAGTTGTTTGATTCGTTCATTTGAGGAATGTATCAGTCAGATTGTTCACATGTATATTCTTTCAAAATGACATTTAATTTTATGTTTTCATATGATGATATCAACTATTTCTTTTCAGGGACCAAATTGGATTTGGTCTGTGGATGGTAATGACAAGTTGCAGTTCTTCCATATTTACATACATGGATGCATTGATACATTTTCACGCAAGATTTTGTGGTTACATGCCAACACTACAAATAAGGATTCTAAAGTAGTGGCTAAATATTTCTTTGACACTGTGAAGACTTTAAAAGGTAAGAATCATTTAATCCTTAGTTAAAGTGGTAACCACTACAGAATAATCTTGCTTTCAACATTTTCAATGCTTTTCCATATTTCTGATATTATTAATTCCAAAATCCTGAGTTTATATAATTGATTTTACCCTACTTAGAACTGTCCACATACTCACACATGGCACCACAAAACCAACCAGCAGGCAAACGGCATTGCTTCTACGTTGATCCACCAAAATTGAATTACTGCAGACACTGTGCAGATACATGTATATAATGTACTGTTTTAAGTAAAAGCCAATTTGAAAAACTCTATCCCTTATCCAACAAAACACTACCTGGTTTAAAAGAGTTTACTAGTATTATCCATTTCTGATTTTGCCATTGTAATATACTAGTTTGGGGTATATTTCAACACTTCTTAAACATCTGTGCTAATAGTTACCGTTTTTTAATAGTCTGCCCTAATAGAACTAGAAGTGACCCAGGGACAGAGAATGTAGACTTAATTGAATGCCAAATGTTCCTAAGAAGAAATAGCAGTGATCAGCATGCTTTCTCCAATAGTCACATCATGGGGCCTTCACCACTGAACCAGGTATGTAAATTTCTTATTATATTTACCCATTTGTCACAAGGATGTCTATTAAAGCCTGTAGTTCGATCACGCACTATTCTGATGTCATGCATTTATTTCAGAAAATAGAGTGTTTCTGGTCAACTTTCCTAAAGAGAGTTTTAATCCGTTGGCAGGAAGAATTAATGGTAAGTTTATTTCTTTTTGGTAGTTTCTGCTTTTCCCAGTCATTTAACTCCCGTATATTCTAGGATTCATTAGGATAATGGAGAGTTTCTTAAACATCCCACTAACAACATGTTTACGACAAAATATGTTTTTGATAATAAACTGGTTATTATAAGTAAGAAAAGGCATTTCCATTACTCATGGATAAAATGGTTTATATTATTAAAGACTATTTAGTTCAGAAACTCCCAAACAGCATTTCTTCCAAAATGTGCACAGATTAAAAAAAATTGGTAGGTCATACTTATTATGATTAAGGAATGTTTCCTTATATGATGATAATAGTACCTTAACAGTGATTTACAAATAAATAAATAAATAATAATAGTAAATATTATGGTTTATTTGTCAAATTAGTTTCTAGTTATGTAATATCATAGAATGACTGATAAATTCACAAGTATTATACTTTTCAGGGTTTGCACAGAGATGGTTGGTATGACAGACACAGTTGCATTGACAAGTGGTGCATGGTATTTGTTTACTTGCCTCTGATACAACATGATATAGATGCATTTCAACTGTGGTGGAACAACCACAAAATAAGACACCAAAGGCAGGTGTGGTTACCCACTGGTGCTGCTCCAAATGACATTTATGCATTTCCACATTTATATGGTAAATTTGGCAATTTCAGTTACATGTTTAGCATATAAAAGATTGAAATATTTAAAACTTAAAACATTTTTGTAATAATCTTTTACTTTCAATATGAACATGTAGTCAATTTAACACATCACCATGTTCTTGTGGCATTGGCTATGTGACTAAATGGAACAACTGGCTTAAGGTATATCAACCTACATATTTTATGCAATATATATTTGCAGGCGGTCACCAGTGTGGATTCACTGTCAGTGATAGAGATTTGGCAGAAGTTGCACGAGAAAAAACACTGAACTATGAACAATCTGCTCGTGTGCCACAGGACTTCTATAATGAAGCAACTAACTTCACTGCCACTAACCACTTGACAATAGAAATATCCACTGAAGAGGAGAGTTATATTCAACTAAGGAGACACTTCATCCTAGAAAGATCTGCATTACAGTCATCTACATATGTGTAAAATGTAATATTAATGTTTCTGCACCAACCTGCAAATTCCAAATTGCTGTACAGGAAAAAAGAGAATAAAGAATCACAAAAGAGGTTATTTTCCTTTTTTTGATACATTTTAATGTAAAATACAATGCGCAACAGGCTACACAACCCATTTTTATGAAACCACAAGTTCTGTAAGACAAAAAGGTAAATTGGTTTTCCCTTGATGGTGTTATCTCTTTATGTGCATGGAGATGCTGGTGTCACACCTGTCAGTACATAAAAATTCAACCACTTTTCAATAAACTTGACAATACCTATAATTCAAAGTCTCTATNTATGAACAATTTGCTCGTGTGCCACAGGACTTCTATAATGAAGCAACTAACTTCACTGCCACTAACCACTTGACAATTGAAATATCCACTGCAGCAGAGTGTTATATTCAACTAAGGAGACACTTCATCCTAGAAAGATCTGCATTACAGTCATCTATATATGTGTAAAATGTAATATTAATGTTTCTGCACCAACCTGCAAATTCCAAATTGCTGTACAGGAAAAAAGAAAATAAAGAATCACAAAAGAGGTTATTTTCCTCTTTTTGATACATTAATACAATGTGCAACAGGCTACACAACCCATTTTTATGAAACCACAAGACTAAAAGGTAAATTGGTTTTCCCTTGATGGTGTTATCTCTTTATGCGCATGGTGATCCTGGTGTCACACCTATGTCAGTACATAAAAATTCAACCACTTTTAAATAAACTTGACAATACATATAATTCAAAGTCTCTATCCCAGCATAGCTGTCAAAACTACAAAAAAAGGATAAAAAAAAATGCACAAAGTAGGTAACTGTCAATACTGATGCAAAATACAGTATGCTTAACAGAAAGTCGACAGCATTGCAAATATATGTCTGTTAGGAATATGTTACTAGCAGACCCATGTCACTTTAAATTCACAGTTAAAATATACCAGCAAGAGAAATATGAACATTCAAATAAAAATGCATAAATTTTAGAAAAAAAAAGCAATCAAGCTGGGTTCCCAATTTGATCAGTGCTTAAGGATTATTATTGGACTTTCAAACTAATATGTCACTGTTTTTTCTTTATAATGTTACTATTGGCAGTGCACAATTTTTTTTTTGCCAAATCTGATACAATTTTACGGAATGATACAACCTTGAACTGTCTAACATAATAGTATAATGTATAAAAGGTCACTGCCATTTGACTTCATGCCTTTGGGGGTTAAATCCCTGAATAAAAATGCCAATATTTAAAAAATATAGAACACACATAGAAGGCAGTCAAACTGGTGCAAGTCTAGGTACAATTCAGACCAAGAACCCTTTCAGTAGGTTTGACAGCCACGAGTAGCATGACTTTAATGGCCATTAAGGTGAGAGTGACCAAAATTTATTTTCCCTCACTTTTGATCTATATTACATAATGCTTAAGAGCATAATCACCACCAATTCTTAATTATGCAATGCAGTTAAAATGGTATTTATAAAAAAATTAATTAGCAAAGGTATTCAGGCCCATGATATTTGAAAATTCCACTATGTACACAAGTGAGAACTATAACTAATGAGTTTACTTCCATTTTCAACAATTAAGTAAATAATAAAAACGGCACAACTTTAATAAAATTGTCCAATCATTTTTGATTACCAGTTTACGCCTTCCTATTCAAGTTCAGTAGTAACAATGGGTGTATCTCTGCTAATTTTGGTGCATTTTACATTTTATTTTCACGTCTGAATATTGGATGTTGAAATATTTGATACAGAACAATGCCCGAGCCCTAACGAAAAAAATAAAAAATAATACATAAAAACCTGCAGTGTTGCACATGCAAAGCTCTACAAAATGAAAAAAAAAAAAAAAAACAAGGTCTCTAGCAATGATGGTTCCAGAATTAGAGAGTTTTTAGTTTGGCATCTAATAGCCACTACTCGACTGAAAATGCCCCAATTGACCCCAAACTCACAAAGATGAAAGATTACCCTAAGGGTAACACCTGCCCATTATATTATAGATTAGATCTGTGTAGTTTCTGAAAATATGCAATAATAACTGTTTTTCACAAGAAAGTTAGCAATTTTAGAAAAATGTGACCTGTTTGACCTTGAAATAATGTTCTAGGAGGAGAAGCGGTAACGGTGACTTGTAGTTCACGACACCCTGCAGAGCCATATGAGATAGGTCGGGACAAAAGCCATGAATACTGCCAGCGTACATGCTGGTGGTACTAAAGAGTTGTTTTTAAAATATTCTAGCCCCAAAAAATTCCTTCTCATTGTAACATTGGCCTAGCATGGAGCCAACACCCCAGGCTGTTGGGCGCAGACTGGCCTTATATTGAAGGCATGCTTTCACAGCTACTTCCAACTTCTTATTGGCCAACCCTTGTATGGCCTCAGGCAATACTTCTTGTAACTGCAACATGATGATTTGCACTTCGTCTGATCCCTGGGGCCACACATATCCTACGAAAACACGCAGGATAGTGCAGCCCAGGGACCATATATCGCATGATGGCTGATCCTTTAAACTGCTGTTTTTGCATAACTCTGGTGCCCTGTAAAGGGGGGTACCAGGGCCTTTCCCCCCTCCTTTTGTTGTTCTTTTAGTCGCCTCACTTCGAATTTTGTCTTTTAACCTGGACACGCCGAAATCGGTAATTTTGACAATCCCCCCTTTTAACTGAAAGTGAAAAAAAAGTTGGTTAACATTCTTAATTCGATGACAGAATGAAGCAAAATAAATTTAAGAAAAATTCTTAAATTAAAATGACTATGGCAACTTTTATCAATAAAACTAGAGGATCAGAGAGGCGATACCGCCTCCTGGTATTGTACCACCAGCTGGAGTAAGCATATTTGTATGGCAAGGAAAAAATAGGATCTTTGAAGCATTGCATAACGTTATCTTACAACAAAAGGGAATTTTCCATTATATTTCTTTAAAATACACTGAAATTCTGGAGAAAAACAACATAATTGGCCAAAAAAAATGAACGTACAATGCATCCATGCATATCATTATGCCTCGTTACACTCATGCTACATATAAGCATATCTCATTCAATTTAAATAGGAACCGCAGGTGTATCTTTGTCACTTTTGAAGATAATAATAAGTGGGTGAAAGATCAAAATTCTAAGTCTAAGTTTAAGATCACAGTTAAATTGCCAGTATGTGAATTCCTATTAACTTCAATAGTAACTATAGTCCTATGTCTGCCAGTTCTGGAGATATAAGATACTTAAATGTTGCAAAGTTCAGTTCATGATGAGAAGTAGGTCAAAGGTCAATTTCAAGGTCACATTTAGATTGCCAGTATATGACTTCCTATTCAAGTTCAAAAGTAACTATGGCCCTATCTCTGCCAGTTTTGGAGATAAAAGGGTTCAAAAACTTGGAAAGTTCAGTTTATGGTGAAAAGTAGGTCAATGGTCAATTTCAAGGTCACATTTAGATTGCCAGTATATGACTTCCTATTCAAGTTCAAAAGTAACTATGGACCTATCTCTACCAGTTTTGGAGATAAAAGGGTTCAAAAACTTGGAAAGTTCAGTTTATGGTATGTACATTTTGATACAGCATAACTCGAAAACTGTATGGAATACAAAAAAACAGAAACCACTCCCAGTGTTGGGCTTTACATGCTCTACAAAATGCAAAAAAGAATGAGTCTGTAGCATTAACGGTTCCCAAATTAGAGACAGTTTTCAGTTTCGGCATCTTATGGCCACTACTCCTGTGAAAATGCACCGATTGACCCCTAATCCATGGTGATGAAAGATGACCCGACAGGTAACACTTTCCAATAATATTATTGGTTAAGTCTGTGTGGTGTCTGAATAACAGCACAAATAAATTTTTTTTCGTAAAAAACTTCGTTTTTTCGAAAATTTTGGCCCGTTTGACCTCGAAATAAAGGTCAAAGGTCAAATCCAAGGGCATATTTGAAATCTACACATGACTTTTGGAAAGCTGTCTGTAGAAAATTTTCCCATAATTCCTTCCGTAGGGTAGATAATTAGCATTCAATTTTGTCATTTTTGGACAAGGGTGCATTGCAATGAGTGCCACACCTAGACCCAAATACCGACTAAGCCCAAATTTTACGTGGAACAAGTTGAGATTATAGGTGACCTAAATCCAAGAGATGGGTATACAGGCCCTTACCGTCTAGGAGGAGAAGCGGTAACGGTGACTTGGCGGCGGAGCCGCAGGAGCCGGCGGAACATACGGGTCGGGACTAAAACCATGGGTACCGCCAGCGCCTACGCTGGTGGTACAATAAAACAGCTTTAATGGCAACCTTTTTTTTTAAAGCAAAGATATCAGTTAATGGGATAAACTAGATCATCAATGCTAACCAACAAATTTGAAGGCTTGATGTCCCTGTGCACAATTCCATTTTCATGTAGATATTCTAAGCCAGCACATGCCTGCTGGAAGTAATGACACTTGGTGGCAAAATCCTAAAAAATAAAAAACATACTGCCAACCTTTATTAGACCAAATTAGATTTGATGCATGATGAATGGCTACATAAATAGCATCTGTGTTCAATCTGTCCATAAAACATCCATTACTTTAAAAAAATCACATATATGACTAGGATTTCAATGAAAAGGCGTTGGACAAGGGAAATATTTCTCTCAGGTGATTTTCTCAGTGTTGATATATGTACTATATACTTCATGAACCTGGTGGCAATATTATTATTTCCATGTAAAACTAAAGGACTCTCAAACAAATTTGCTAATCCTGATGGGTAAACACCCTATCCTTCATAAAAATCCCATAATGAACAAGTATATATTTAGTCAACCACTAGTCATTATTCATGGTCAATATAAAAAAACTATGATATAGTCTTACTCCTTTTCCAATCAACTGCTCCATACTACCTCCTCTGCACAGTTCCATCAACAGGAAAGCAGTATCTTCTGTCCAAGAAACAGCAACCATATGTACAATGTTTTCATGGCGTAGCTTCCTGCCAAAAAAGAAGATGAATTGATATTTTGACATTTAGGCAGTCAAAAAGAAAGAATAAAAACAAAGCACAGTAATTGTGTCAGTTTCTGGTTTAGAAATAAGTAAATCTAGGACTTAGTAGTGCTCTTTAACATTTTAACTAACAAGTTGACATTTTTTAAAAATAACCAAACACACACATTTACACTAATAACAATTTAATTACCCTAATATTTGAATCTCATTTTCAATGGAGTCTTTTTCCCTGTTCTGGATAGGAAGAACTTTGATGGCAACGGGTCCATAATAATTTCCAGAATACACATTTCCAAAGCTTCCAGATCCTAAAAGATTGCTTTTGTGGAGTTCAAAATCCTTAGTTGACACCACAGCCAATCCATCTAAGAGGCCAAATGAACATGTCAATTAAAATGATTTTCCTATATCCAAATAGGTACTTATTTCAAACTTATTTCAAGTTTTTTGTGGGAGGCAATATGAAATAAAAGAAAACGACTTGTTTAGAAGAAACCCTCTGTGTATGTATACACATATAACCCTATCAGAGAGGCAACTTTTTATTAATTAATTAATTAATTAATTAATATTATTTAACTTTTTTTTTTTGAGTGGGAGGGGGGGTGGGGTAAGTATACCTGGATATTTTGTAATAGTTTTTTCCTCTTCCTTCTCTATGAAAATAAAGTAAAGCATACTTAAAACAAGTTTAAATATTTTGAGGATAATAATGTTGGAGATTTATTGTTCTTGCATATAATGATTACTTGTGGATTGAATTATTTCATAATAATGCTTAAATCTTTTCCAAGTAACATCATACAAACTTTGCAAAAAAACACCATTTTCACTAACCTTTGCTTTTAACCATTCTAACTTCAATAGGTTCTGATGTAGCTTCTTTTGGTTGTGCTCCAAATTTCATAGCTTTGGCCCAGTAGATTCCTTGTTCATCTACCTCTACCACAGGGCCACATTTTCCCAACATGGTTGTCTTTCCATTAATATTCTTATACCATTCTGTGACAACATTTTCATCGTTAAGGGGTGTTGTAACAAAGTATATAAGGGCTCTTTCTGCGCATACGACAACATTTTTACTCTGGCCCAGGATTTTGAAATCTGGAAATGAAACACCTTTGGACATCACATGCATATGTCAACAAATAACGATTGCATGTCACGTACATTGCACACTAAATAGCAGGTATTTCTAATAAATCTTTAATCAAAATGATTGAATGTTCAGAAATAATGGATCAAGTAATGTATTTTGTTATTTCAATAAGTTTCATCTATAAAAATTAGCTGATTTTATCTGCTACTGCTATTGTGGGCTAGCATATTATTAAAGGTAATTTTAGGTGTTTTTTACTAAAAGAGCAACGTGACAGAGAAGCATGCCTATGAACAGGATGGGACTAAAGCGGTTCAGTAGTGTGAACTGAGTTCAGTAGGTTTAAATAATGGTATATCACAGGCACAAGTCAGGGGCGGATCCAGTGATATTTTCTGACAGTCTTCCAAATTATCTTTGTTGATCTATCCTCCATTTTTGACTGTCTTTCGACAGAGAAAAATAGATACCCGTCAATGTAAACCTGAAAATCTGACTGTCTTCTGGAAGACCCAGAAGACGGCCTAAATCCAACCCTGCAAGTTGACAAGTAAGAATATTATTAGCTGATTCACTAACCTTTAGTAGAAGGCTCTACCTGTATCAGATAAGTTGCTAATATAACTTCTTCAGAACCAGTGACATAATTACATGTAACCACATCAGTATCACCTACAGAAATATAATTAAGTCATATTAAAGATAAAAAGAGTTGCATATCTATTTCTGCACAATATTATATTTTCTTTTAAACTTGTTTTTTTAAATTCCCTTGCATAAAATATGAAAATATAGCCTTGTGTAATTGTTTTAATGTAAATTAGCTTATATGTATATATATATATATATATATATATATATATATAGTCCTCTAATTTGAGAAAACATGCAGTTTCAAAAAATTACATCTTACCATCCTTAAGCTGAATAAGATGGTGCTTAGATAGGTCAATGACCTCAGAGTTTTGGACTGGCTTTTCATACATACATTTACCATCTATGACAGCTGCAGACAAAACTGAAAATATGAGTAAGTGAAGAAACTACATAGACTTTCAGGATATAATAGCTATATGAAGGTTTTTTTAAATGTATATTTAGAGGTGAGAAAATGCCCACTAAAACTTCCAAGCTATCGATCTCACAAACAAAAAGGTGAAAGCAAATTTTTATTCTACAAAATTAACTAATAACTAGAGGGTCAGAGAGGCAATACTGCCTCCAGGTACTGTACCACCATATGGAGTAAGCTTGTTTGTATGGAAAACAAAACTATGCAGCAAAACTGGCAAATAACAAGACACCATACAGATAACATGGCAGCAGAGCTGCCAAATAACCAGACATTATGCAGATTTTGATTCCACTTGGCCTTTTTCTAGGCTAGTGAACAAATAAAATACATTCTTTGTAACCTTTTTTCTCAGCAGCTGTTTTTTTCTTATCCAAATCCACACTCACAAATACCAGAAGTAAAATGGCATAAATAACATTTTAATAAATATGTATGTTACAATGAGATTCAAACATAAAAACAATATATAAAACAATATATAATAATATGCTTTGGTAAAGCTGCAAAAATGCTGCGAATTTCAGGGAAATTCATTTTGAGCTTTATAAATGTTATAATAATCAGTATCCTTATTATTAATGAGTGTTGAAGCATACTTTGATTTTCACACAATCCTTACCTAAAAGGTCATCTGGAAACTGGACTCTGCAATTTTCATTTGGTTTTGCAGCCTTATCCTAAAATAAACCCAGAAAATAGGTTTTTATATGTTGCTGATGATCTGTAGTTAAAAGCTAAGAAAAGCAAATTATTAAACATAAAATTATACAATTAAATGACTGGTACAGGTTATACTTTTAATGACCCATCTACCAATGCCTATGTTCTCTTTATAGCCTCTTTATTAAAAAAAACTCACAGCACATCTCTCCTGCCCATGTATCGAAGATTCTGGTAAGTTTAAAAGACTGCTATGATGATCATCATCTCTCTGCTCCAGTCCCTATGTATGATAAAACCAATTTGAAAATGACTTTTAAATAAGCTTTCTATTTCATGAACTTAAATACAACATAAACACTAAAATGTAGAGTCAGAACTTACTTGACAGCTTTCAGTTGTATGTGAAGTATCTGAAGGGACAGCACCAGACATGAATTTCATTTGAAATGCTTTCTGAAAATGAATAAAAGAAGAAATTAATTAAAGAAACAGAAAGGTGAATGTTCATTCCAGAAGAGCATAATTTAATGAGCTAGTATGCTGCTAGAAAGGGAAGTTACTACATGTAGGTGGCCGAAAGGTTCACCAATTAGAATTTTTTTTGCACTGGTACAAAGGTTAATTAATCTGAGAGTTCAATAGTCCGAAGGTACATAAGTTTGAAACTGTACAACACATTTAAGACCGACATGTTTTCAGACTAGTCCCATTTTTGGTTTGAAGAACCTTTGAACTACATGTTTAATCATGCACCCTTACAAAAAATTAAACATTAAAACAATGTGACAGTATCTATCAATCTACTTAAGAAGGAATAACTTACTTGACTTCCTTTACCAGTTCTTTTACTTGGATTTAGTGGTGGAAGTGAGCTGTCACTGCTTACATCCTCATCAGGGACCTTAAGAGTATAGATGAGAAAGAATCTCATACTAGATTCATCCTCCAACTTGTGTAAGTTTTATCTAAATACACTACAAGTTATATTTATTGGTAGTGAACAATTCAATAGAAACCTCTAAAACCATATGACAATAAAATACTCTAATATCGCTTTCAAAGAAACTTACTTATGGATACAATTTATTCATTGGAATAACTTTACAGCACCAAAATTGAATAACTTCTTAAATTAAAGTATTTCACCAGATATTAAGATAAATGATTAAAAGTTACAATTAGAAATCTCCACTAGATACCCATGACCAGAAAAAAAATTAAAACATTATTTATATTACCCACTTCAAGCTCTAAAATGCACAAGTGTGATTACTCTGTAAGAGGAAGCTACATTTCTTATAAATGTACATGCAAAGCCTTATAAGAAAAATGAATGAAAGAAAACACAAAACTGATATCAGATCAAAGCACCAACCCTTTATGAGGTTTTTATTTTGCATCGTATTATATAGGTATTATTACAGTATCTTGTGCAAATAATCTGCTTTAGTATCAGAATAATGTCATTAGCTAGGAAAATTAAAGCAACTCGTACATGTATATTGTCGGGTCCCACATAAAGATCATACGAAGTCATATGACGTAATGTGAAGTAATGCGGCGGTCTCTGTGTATGACGCCGAGGTAAAGAAATTAATTATGCAATTAAAAGTAGTTAAAGTTTGCGTCATGAATCATACATGTAGATAACAATAAAGATATAAGCAATATCGGAAGAGAGATACGGGGGAGAGATACGCGAGTCATGTAGAAGGAAGCAACGAAGGAGGAGGTTGGAAGCGACGGAGGACGGAGCTGACGAGTTAGGAGTTTGGGACTTCACTTAGAATATCATGTAGTTACCGAATAAATCATTTCACTGGTCATTATGTGGACTTGGGTTTTCTTTGCGCGACCTTACGTAAATCTGACGCAAACCTAGGAATCTTCGGCTGGGGTTATCCACTAAGTTAGTCTAAAACGTAATGTCCTATTTCGAGCCAACGCTTGAATTAAGCGTACAAAATTAAGTTTAAGACATTCATCGTAGGCATGTGTAAAAAGGTTCATTACATATTTGGCGACCCTCGCCAGTTTACGTTAAAATGCGCTCAAAGAAGATTCGATTCACACACAAAATGGCCAGGAGGAAAGGTAGGTGTAGGAGAAAAAGTAAAACTTCGCACGACGAAGATCGGCCGGCCGGCAGTATCACCGGACCGGTTGAGGTAAGTATTAATGTTATTTATATTGTCAGAACTGGTATTTAGTAAATTGCTAAATACTGTGTAAATTTTGAGGTTAAGTATCAAGGCTTTTCTGTAGTTTATATAGTCGATTTTATACGGGAATCTCACATTTTCGATGTCGGGTTGCGTAATAGAAGTACGTGTTAAGTATATTGGTAGGTTACTTACTTTTTCAAAAGAAACTAGAGATCGTTAGAGCACGGAAAATGTACTTGTTGATAAGAAACTTCGCACAATTAATTAATGCGTGGTAGGTACAAGCGAGTTTATACATTTTGGGTATAGAAAGGAGATCGTCGATCTGCGTAAATTAGTACGACGAGTTTTGCGTTGTCAGGCCTGTAACCAGCAATTTCAAAAGGGGGGTTCTTTTTCTGAAAAAGTGGACCTTTTCCCATAAAAACTTCATGTACCTAGATCAAATTTTACCCAGAGTGGACCTTTTCCCAGCAAAAGGGGCGGTTCTTTCGAACCCCCCCCCCCCCGAACCCCCCCTGGCTACGGGCCTGGTTGTACTTGTAGGTGTAATGTGTCGTGTTTTCTTGTTAATGTTGTTGTAAGATAGCATGTGTTCGGGTTCTTGTTGCTTTGTCGATCGTATGGATATTGAGCGATAAGGAAGATTCCTGCGTTGTAGAATAGGGTCCTTTGCGTGTGGTATTCGTTTACGTTAATTGTTTTGGTAATAGCTATATTATGTAAATAACGAAAGGTAACTTTAAGAGTGAACAAATTATCAATTACAATTGCCGGTGAAGTCAAGCAAGTGCTGACAAAGGCAGAGGGCAAGATAACGAAATTCAGGTGTTTGAAATTTGCTCCGATCGAGAGAAAGATAGGAGGTAACGAGTTTATGGACGGAGATAACGTCGGAATATGGTGATTTTAGGTAAAAACGAATTCGTGGCAGTAAATTATGCAACAAAGGGCACATTTGAATGCACAGGTAATATCAAAGGTAGTGATGCGTCAGAGATATAGAAAAAGGCGTCGAAATAAATCAGACAAAACCGGTCGGGACAAGACACGTGCGTAGCCAGACAGAAACTAAATATAGACACACAGACAGACAAACACGCGGCAAGTGTACTTTAGGACTTTTTAATTATGGGACTAATTGATGGTTAATTAAGGATCTTGAGGGCTAATGAAGAAAATAGATTCATATGGCGTAGTGAATGGAAACAGGTCAGTGCATTTTACCTCGAGGTGAGGATGGAAACCCAGTATTTTATTTGTTTAAAAGGTTACCCTGCTCTAAGTTCTGAGTGGAAGGTCTGGTTAGCTTCTAGGAGTATTAGGGCTTCTTGTCAATTTAGGCCCGCAGATGGATAAATGCAAGTAACACCAGATATTTTATTATTTATTTAAAAGGTATCTTACTCCTGGTATGGAGTGAATGGAAGGTCTGTAACACCCCATTTCCATAGATTAGATCGACCTACTTTGGATCGACCTAACTCCCTGGGGGTTCACGCTGAATAGCTGTCAGCCGGGCGGACACGAAAGTTAATTGACCCTTACGGCTTGTAGTGGGTGGGGACGGACACTTAAGGGGGATTATCTGACGGTAGTCTGGTGAGACTCCCCGCGGTGATAGATCGATCTAAAGTTGTGGGAACAGACCCTAAGTTTCAAGCCGCAATCAGGACTGCTTGTCAAAAAATTTAGATCGTCAGATAGCGAAGGGGATAGGCTCCCCGAAGCTGTCTGTAACAGGCGGCAGTGGAGTCGCAAGGCTCCAGGGGCACATAAAAAACGATCTACAGTGCTGTGGGAGAGAGACAGAAGGCCCACTGTGTCCCGAATCCTGAATTAACAGGATACTGTGGTACCGTCTAGTCGGCTCAGCAAAACTTTCATTACAGGTGCAAATTACATCAAAAGCCAGTGAAATAAAAAAACAATTTACTTCAGAATACATTACCACAGTTCTCCAATGTAGCTCTAAAAAGAATATGCATGCAGTTTAAAAAGTTGTCATATTTTGAAAATCTGTTAAAACCTTTCAAATTATTTCAAAAAAATATTAGCTACATGTACAAACACATAACATTGTGTTATCTGTCAATTCCTTCAGGCCACCCAAACAGTTATATATCACCAGGGAATGTCAACAACTTTACCATAAGACGCTTGTTGACACTAACCTTAACTGTCATATCTGGGTTCCTGTAGAACAAGCTAAATTAACTTGGCATTGTCAATAACTTGAGATTAGACAGACAGTGTTCTCCAGTGACATATTTTTGTGTAGTAATTGATGTTCCCTGGTAATATCATATGACTGTTGGGGTGGTCAGTTCTTAATTATTAAAAGAATGTAGTCAATAAAAATATACATACAAGCGTTACTTACACAAGACATCTTTGAGCTGGTACTTGAATTATCAGCCTTAAAAAGAAAAACAACATTGTACCAATAAACTGGCTCATTAAACAGCACAATAATGACTCTTTATTGATAGTAACTTCAAATAATAAAATTCATTCTTTCTTTTTAAGTCCACATATACAAAAACAAATATCATTGTTAACAACATTGTTATACTAACTGATATAAAAAAGATAACTCACATCATTACAAACAAAAAAAATCTTCTTCACATTGCCCAGGTTTTCCTCATTTAACTTCGGGCCATTTTTGTTTCCCATAATGAAGGGCCTCTTCCCAGTTTCCATCAAGGATTTGGTGTCTTTTCCTTCGAAATACTGGCAGCAAGAGTCTAGTATTACAGAATGGCTGTAGGGACCATTCAGTGGGATCTGAAAGATAACAATTCTTTATTGTAAAATCAAAAATGAAATTGATGCTTACAGCAATGAAACAAAGTTGTAATATACATTTTATTAGGTAGGAGACCACTTTAGGCAAATGCCCTAATTAATTAATTAATTAATTAATTAATTAATTAATTAACATTCTATTTATGTTGGGCTTTAATGTTATCAATACAATTAATAATTATCTCATTATGTTAAGCTGATGTCCCAAACGGTTGAACTTATACCCTTTATTGCTGAACTGACTGCTCAACAATCAATAAGGTATTACCTCTCTATTAGGTATCCCATCTTCATCTCTAATGATGTCAAATTTAATTTTACCAGACTTGGAGGTTACTTTTTTTAGCTTTGTCACAGTGATGGTCTAAAATGAAAATTTAATACAATCAGATATATTTAAATGTGCATGGTATTGTAGTAGCACCAACAGGAGCATTTTTCAGTTGGAATGAAGGTATGGTGTGATAGTCAGGGGCGGACCCAGGCCCTTGTGAGAGGAGGAGCTGTAACTGTAACTTAATTATATCAGTCACCAGAACAAAAGAACCATAGAGAAGGGTCAGGACCAAAACCAGGAGTGCTGCCAGCGCTAAGTTGATGATACTTGATAAATCTTTGACAGATTCAGTAAATAATTTTTATGTTGGGGATTAGAAACAATTGCTTTAAAAAACATTGTACAAAACATATACATACGTACCTCTGTGCGTTTCTTCTTCCCATCCCTGAATGTAAATTTCTGTTTTCTTTTAAAAGAAATATTTCCCCAGCTACACGATGGTTGCTGATCATCAAGTGCTGAAATGAAGAAAACATACGCATGTCATTAATAAAAAATAACAGAATTAAATGGGCAAAATGATCGTGGGCGTAGCGATAGTCCGAAGGTTCAATGGTCCAAATGTTCACTATAGAACCTTCGGACCAATGAACCGTTGATTAAAAAAACAATGAAAATGTTACAAATTTTCGAACCAATGAACCTTCGGAATTTACGAAATGTCCCTTCTTTACAGTGAGCCCAGTGATTTGATTTTAATTACGCGCCACACACTACTGTAGGCCTACATGTTCGTGACTACATTGCACCAGACCATTGATTACTCCAATTAAAGATAGTCAACAACTTACGTATTTGCATCCCGCGCACTGGGGCCGGTCCTTTGTTGACATTTGGTTTCGTTTTCCCTTTAAAAATGACATCTTCCTCATGTTCGGTGCAATGTCGGCATTTTGAACAACCCCTCCCTGCCTCATTCGCCATGCTTTTTTTTTTCTCGCACTTTCTCGCGAGATTTCGTGTTTTTTTTTTCAATTTCATTTTGAAAATGAAACAGATTGATCTCTCGGGATTTCGCGCGACCACGCGGGATTACGCGCGATCTCGCGAGATTACACGCGATCTAGCAAATTTCGCTTTTCGTTTTTTTTTTCGTTTTTTTTTTTTTTTTTTTTTTCAATTTCGCTTTTCGTTTTTTTTTTTTTTTTTTTTTTAATTTTTTTTTTCGCTTGGCCCTCCTGGGATTCCATA